TGCAGCCGGGCCCCAATATCGCCTTTCCTGTCCGGCCAGTTCTGTGGTTGCCCAGACTTGCTCCCTCCCTTTCTCCACTGGCTGACACATACTGTTGCCCCAACAAGCGGGCTCTTCTTTATTTTTTATTTATTTTAAAACTTTTTCTTGGGGGCTCTTACGGCTCTTGTAGCAATCCATCACCAATTGCATCGAGCACATCTGCACACACGTTGCCACCATCCTTCTCTAGACATTGATTTTCTATTGAGCCCTTGGTGTCAGCTCCTCTTCACCCCTCCCCCCACCCTCATGGCCCCTTGATAGATTATAAATCATTATTATTTTCCAGACTCTTCTTTAAAATGCCACCCGGGACCTGCCTGCGTGGATTAAAATCCTTTCCGGTTTTCCTGTTGGGGCCCTTTCCGGGTGGGCGGCGTCTACAGACAGACCTGGGACAGTCTAGAAGGGAGTGGGCGAGGACCTGGTTTACAGCTAGTCCGTCATCTCCCCCCCAGGGAGGCAGGAGCCAGGTCTTAAGAAAATACACTAGGTCCCGAGAGGTTGCTCTCCCCGGCTCTGTCCAGGTGGCTGGAGGAGCACAGGGCTCTGCCCCATGGTGTACTGTCCTTTTCCACAAGGCCGGAGGTCAAGCTGGGCCTTGGTCTGCGACTGCACACTCCTCCAGCTTCTCAGAGTCCTGTGGACCAGTGACTGAGGAGGCAAACCGCACAGGAAACAGCCCTCTGATACACCCCTCCTGAATCTAGGTTCTTTCCTGATGAGTTAGACTTAAAAAGAAAATGAAAATACACTAGCTGCCACACGGCCCTTGAACTTGAGAGAAGCCACTTGGCTGGGCACCAATTCAAAATACAGTAAACGAACAGATATGTGTGCAAACAAAAAAAGGCCAGCAAGTCCGATCCGACTCAGTGCGGCCCTATAGGACAGAGCCAAATTGCCCCTGTGGGTTTCTGAAGCAGGAACTCTTTCTGGAAGTAGAAAGTCTCATCTTTCTCCGGAGGAGCGGCTGGCTGGTGGGCTCGAACGCCTGACCTTACAGTTAGCAGCCCAACGTGTAACCTGTGATGCCCCCAGGGCTCCCGGAGCAAAAGCACAGCACATCCCTCAGAGTCCCCCACGTCAGAGGAGCATCTCAGAACACAGGTGCCACTGCCGACAGCAGGCCAGGTGACCAAGGCAACAGTTCAGTACCAGTTCTCATTCAGGAACAAAAGGCGCTCAACTCTTCTTGGGAGACACAGGGCTTCACCATCAGCCTGAGTG